ATGGCATTAAGAACATCCAAATGTAGAATGCATACTCTGTGTGCATTAAAGTGTGCACCTACATAGTGTGAACTCGCATTCTCTTGCTGTAGTGCTTCTCCAAATCATTTTTAGGTTGCACACATTTAATTCCACCGGTGACTAAAATGTACATTTGCATTGTAAGGGTTTAAAAAGAATCTTGATATTGTCTGATAACATTTTACATGGCAGGTGTACACAGTCACTTGACTAGAGCTGTTTATTTTCAGCTCATCCTTCTGAAAGATGGTCACTACGTCAAAGCGCCATTAAAAGAAACATGTTAAATGAGTAATAATACAGATAAAACTACCATATTTGATGATACACATAATATTTACAGGGTTTATCATTAGTGTAATTAGCCTACTGATTGCACTAATTTAAATCATGATCTCAGTACATGTAAACATGTCAGTGGTTCACTGCTTCATTATGACTGATCGATTGGAATGATAAAATTTTACATTTTAAGGCATAGTGTTACATTAAAACAGGTATAGTTTTATTTCCAAATAACTGCCTCACATAAAATTTTACATTATGTTATTTTATTGTTTTCAACTTTCTTAACTCTTTTTTTCTTCTTCAGAAAAGACATGCAGTTTGTTTCATTCGGCTGTCCAAAAAGTCAAATTTAGTAAATCTGCTCACCCAATACAATTCACACAGCAACATATCTGCTCAAATGTTGTCATATCATAACATGATGTCACACTTAAGAAAAATTAGTCTGTTATTCTAACAATAAAATGCTAAACAAGAAAAACATCCAATTTTTTTGCAACATCAAACACCAATCTGATAACAGGCGTTTCAGGCTGAGGTATCAAACCTGTGTGATGTAGCTCTGAGTGTTTGTTGTTCACAACTTCACACATCACAGAGCAGCTCCAACAGTCCGCACGTTCATCACATCTAACCTTTTCATTTCCGTCCAATAACTCACAACAAAGAGCCCCATACTTGAATGTCTTACTGATGCACCGTGTGTAAAAATACAAGTCGTTAAAATGTAAACACCCCGTACCAATTTACTCACCGACCGACTGGAGTTTCTCTTCTTAAGGCTTCGAGCAAACATGACAGCGTGAGGAATTGAATCTCAAAGCGCAGTGAAACGGATCACCGAGTCAATAATATGAGAAAGAGAGCATTGGTAGAAACGTTCATCTCCGCGCTCTCTCAGTCCGTCCCATGCGAGCTTGTGAATGAAATTACTGCATTTCCGGACACGCCAGCGGTTTTTTAAACGAACCCAGTAAATGTCAGGTACATTCCTGTGTAAATGTGTGAGACCTTTTCTTTAACTGCAGTTATATAAACCCCAGATTCCGACGGTGTAATTGTTTCAAAGGAAAGTTTTGAGTTTCTGTGTAAAAATATCGACAAAAATCAATATGCATGTGAATTGTTTAATTTGATATAAGCGCTTCACTTACAATGGTGTGAGTGTAGCCTATATTTGTTTGCAAATTTGTTGCTGGTAAATTCCATTATTTTGAGTATGCTTGATTACCATAATAAATGCATGTTTATCCTTAAAATGGATATTTTATGTTTAAGTTATTATAGTATAGAGCTAGCAACGTGGTTTTATTCCCAAGGAATGCATGAACTGATAAAAAGCATACAATTATTTTCGCTAAGCGCTGAAATGCTTCACATTTTTTTGTTCTTGTTATTCAGCGAGATGCACTTTAGAGGAAAAGGAGCTCAACAAAGCAGTATGATAAGGACCCTTACAGAGACATTTCCTTGATCACCTCACTATGTGAGGTCTTGGTTTTCAGTATTCACTGGGGCTCAAAGAGCAAGCTCAGTACTTCTGTGTAGGAGTATGTGCAGTGAATGTCTACAAAACTGACAGAAAAGACTAAAAAGAGCTGTAAATACCTCAGTCCAATTCACTCTGAAGTTTTCTACAGCTTTTAATGTAGTCAACCTTTAACCTAATGCAAATAATGAAAGTTTGTGAAACAATACAAAGAGTTTTGAGTCTCGTCCTCTCTGTTTGACTAGACAGAGTCTGAAGAAACAAGATAACTTGTACCTTATTAAATATTTATCAACTATTTACTTAAGAATTCAGGTATATTAACTAGCACATAGGTTTAATCAAAGACAGTCTTTGTCAAAGATGCTCACCGTTGAGGAGGTTCAGTGGCGCTATGACTCCTGTAGGCGTTTAGTGGAAGTTGTGTAATAAGCCTGTGTGTTGTCCTGGTAACAGTAAACATTACCTGTCTCAACAGATTTATGGGTGCTTCACCTGTAAAACATAATCTCCCATGGCCTTAAATAAACTAACATGGCCACACAAAAGAGTTTAAAAAAACCTCAGATTAAATAACTATAAAAGACTGTGTTGGACATGTCACTAAGCGAAGGAACCTAAATAACCATGTGACTACAAAGATGGGTGAATCTCATAAAACACGGCCCAGTGATATTTTACCCCCAAATCAATCCAAATTATAATTTATTAAAAATAAACGTATTTTGCTTAAAGAAAGCACATCTCACTGGCAAATATTTTTTGTCTATCTGGCTGCAAAGAGACATCGTCATAACATAACATAACATCACAACATCATATCAAAGGGAATTTATTTGTGAGGCATACACATTATATTAATGTTGACATTAAACTTAAAGACTATTGTAGACTTTATCAAGACAAATTCATTGCATTGAATCATTTTTATACATAATTTTACACATAACTCATATACGGTGTACATTTTAGGACATCCTCAGACCTCAGTCATTAAATGAAAAGGCGTCATGCCTCGGACTAAAAGGCTTCATTCATTGGACAAAACGGCATCGCGCCTCAGACTGAAAAGCTACATGTTACAAGACAACACAAATAAATTAATCTGATAATTTTATAACCATACTTAATAATAAAAATATATATATATATATATATATATAAAAACAGCACCATCTAGCAAAAACCAATTTGGGAATGTTTTTTAGTACTTTAATGTTGTAAAATGTGTTTAAGTATTAAGCAAAAATATTTGCTTTTTTGGCTTTGGCTTTGTTTTTTTGACCCGTCTTTTGAGCATGTTTGCTATTGCTTTTGCAATGGTCTATGTAATGAATACACCAAAATAATAATATTTCAGTATTCCAATTGGCATCAATTATTGCGACAATAGATTTTAATGTACCAATGAATTATTATCACCCCAATAAATACACAGTAATAAAATATACACATAATGGCAGTGAAGTTATTAGTGAAACATGTAATTTGCTATGACAATAATTATTCAATAAGTTATGAAAGAGATAAAATCTTACAACAGGCACGGCTGAGGTAGAAACTGCTTTTCCGATGTGCGCACTGATGACTTGGGAAACGGGGGAGGTAAAATTTAAAAAAAAAGAAAAAAAAAAAAAAAAAAAACATTTCTTTAGGCTAAACACTTTGTCTCAAAATGTACTGCTTGGGCAATGAACAAGATGACCAACTTCACACTCTCAAAATAAAATGTACAAACGACAAAGCTGTCATTAGGATGGTTACTCTAAGGTACAAAACCTAATTTTTTTTACCTTATTTACCCCTAGATGTTACTAGCTTAAAGGTACATACAAGTACCTAAACTGTACATATTACATCTTTTGAAAGATACCATCCAGTGACAGTTTTGAATTCTCATTTCGTAAACCTTTATCTAATTCCAACCGTGCAACCTACAAATTCCTCTCTTTTGCTAGGCAGACTTCTTTTTCCCCTTCTCAGATATTTATCTGAACTCTACTCTCCCACTAAGATGTTCCCTGCTCTGTCAGAACAAAAATCTGAACACAAGTCACATCTAGTCTCTATAGCCTTCTTTAGACCGGTGAGTTGACGGCTAAATAAGCTGTACTTCCTTCTACAAGAAAAATACTAAACTTACCAGACACGACATCTTCATCTATAAAATTCAAGAAGACAATGAATCAATGAAATTTTCACAACAAATATACCATTCATAAATAATTAGGAATAACATACACTACTGTTCAAAAGCTTGGATTTCAACCATTTTAACCATTTAATTGATCAAAAGTAGTGCTGTTAAACAATTAATCGCGATTAATCACATTCAAAATAAAAGTTTTTGTTTACATGATATATGTGTGTACTGCGTATATTGATTATGTATATATAAATACACACACATACATGTATATATCTAAGAAAAATGTTATGTTTATATATTAAATATATTTATAAATAATATAAATTATATGAATATACATATATGCATGTAAATATTTTCTAAATATATACATGCATGTGTGTGTATTTACGTATATATTCATAATAAACATACACAGTATGCACACATATATTATGTAAACAAAAACTTTTATTTTGGATACAATTAATCACAATTAATCATTTGACAGCACTAATCAAAAGTGACAGTAAAGACAAAAACTTTAAAAAATTTATATTTTAAAAAAATGTAACATGGCTTCCACAAAAATATTATGCAGATTTTTCACACCACTGTATATATATATATATATATATATATATATCTTCTAATATGATGGACTTTTAAAAACTCGAAAAAAAATTCGAACTATTCAGATGACTAAAATTCTGTTAGCATGAATATTAGCATGTTCTTTTGTCAATCAAAATACCAAAAAATGTTTTCAACACTGATAATAACAAGAAATGTTTCATGAGCACCAAAACAGCATATTAGAATGATCTCTGACACTACAGACAGGAGTAATGGTTGTGAAAATTCAGCTTTGCCATCACAGGAATAAATTACATTTTAATATATAACAAAATAGAAAACATACATTTTAATGCTTTTCACAGTATTACTTTTACTGTATTTAAATAAATGCAGCTTTGGTGACTATAAGAGACGTCTTGTTTTTTTGTGTGTTTTTTTTTGAGAACCTAAATAAATACATCCAGCAAAATAGATGCCAAAGAACCTATACCGGTATTCCAACACTCCTAATGGCTCATAAGTGAACTGTATGGCACTTGAGGAATCATACACATAGAATTTAGATTTCCCTTTAAAAGAAATTAAGTCTGACAGTAGAAATAAGTATGTAGAAACAGGTCATACACTTTCCTGCTGGTTTGTACACCTGTCATCATGTAACTTCAACAAGAAGTCCAGGGCTGGAAGAGGGAGTGCATTTTCCACAATAACCACCACATATCCCAGAAACTCTACTGCCATCCTGTGGATACATGAAGAAGTACATGTAAAGTTTGCTTAATCGTTTTATAATATAGCTAAAACACGCTAAAAAAAATAATTTAGAGAAATTCAAACCCCAAGGGCATGAAAACACACCTAAACTGACTTCAACTAGAGATAAAAGATTTAAAAAAAATTCTCTCTCTGCATGTCCTCCAGAGCTCTTGACTTAGAACAGTGGATCATTTTGAATGGATTCTGTTTAATCTCTGCCAAAAAAATGTCCCTCTGCTGACTTCAAGAAGGACTGGATCTACACAGCAGCTGCTCAGTTGAATTCCATCGAAAGGACACTTGTACCAAATAAGATGGATGATGTACTACATGTGCTTAAAAACAAATTCTAAGCCAAGAATGGACAATATACTTAATTTACTATTCATTCAGAATTGGAGGTTCCAGAAAAAACACATGGTCTGGTGAACTTGCACACATTTACTCTAATCATTAGGCCTTCTAGTGTGCATTAGTTAGAGTATCTTTTGTTTTATAAAGTTCTTAAAAATGCTGTTTTCATACTACAAAAACTATTTTATCTCGAAAGGGAAATGTGCAATTACAACATAATAATGGGCTAAATAGAAATTGTATAAATTTGGTATAAAAATGTATTACAAAGAACAGTATAAATGCATGATTTTATGATTTCAATGTGCGAGTTAGTGTTCTTTAAGTCAGTACATGGTGTGGTGGACTTACCTGAGACCTGTGAATGTCAGCTGTGGCGTAGTTCCCTTGGGAAATCCACCTAGTGCTTTCTGTCACCTTAAATCCTGTTCCTGAGAGGTTGATCCTGAACCGGCCCTGAAAAAAAGAGCACATTTTTTGAGCAGTCACAACATTTTACCTACTAGCAACAGGTGGCAGTAGTAGGAATTTTAACCTCATACTATCTGTACACTAAAATCTGGATGAGTAAACTAAGCAAAGACAAACATGTCATTCATATATTTATTTAGATAGAAAGAGTAAAAATAAAATAATAAAATAAGCTTTTCACACTGCACTTAAGCCCTGATTATCGTCATTATTAATCCTGGTTTTAACCCTGGATAGACGAATTTTTCACAAATATACTTTAGCTGGGGTAGCACTGTATGTTACCTGGGGTTAGAACCATTTATGCACTTTTAAATGACGCAGTGTTAGAATGTTATGGCTAGATGCTAAGCAACAGACAGCCAATTGCGTGTCTCATATTCACGTGCTTTGAACATTCAGGGAAACACTGCGTGTTGTATAAATAGTAATTTCGGGCAAGACCCTTTTGGGGTAGGGGCGTGTTTGTTTTGGTGATTTCAAATATCAACATTGGCTACCAGAAATCACTTACTCTGCCTTTAAGGGGAAAACGTCAAAAAGAGATGTAAATTGCAATGAAGAAGAGAGACCTTTGTAGCCCGAAATCTCCACTAAGGAAAAACTTCATAAAGTCGGCAATATATACTGGAAATATGAGGATGTCTTTATGTAAACAGGTTTTAGAAACGAGTGTGAAAAGCCCTGTGGTGTGCTACCTACCTGTGGGCAGCGAGCAGCACTATAGCAATCTCCTGCCGTGGCAAAAGGAACCCTATGCCCTTCAAGGATAAAGGCAAATTTCCAGTCTGTGGCTATGCAAAAATAAATAAATGAATGAATAAATAAATAAATGACATTTATACATTTAAGGTAGGCGTATTAAAAGGGCAATGAATAAATGAACAAGAGACCAGACATTTTTCAAGAATAATTTCTGGCAACGTGTGTTAGCTAGGCTTACTTATAATGGTCATTGTGCTGAGGTCCATTCTAACTCTTGTGAAGGTAGAAAGACCAGCAGCTGTGTAGTCTCTTCTACACTGGCAATCTTCTCTCCTGCTTAGGTTGAATGGGCACTGTGTGGGGTCCATCAGCCTGGACAACAACACAAAGAACATAAAGAAATGTTGTTTCTTTGACGGAAAAATGGATAATATAAATACATAATACAAATGTATTTTGTAAAAGCACACAAAATAATGCATATTTATACACTCGCAATGGAAGTCAAAGGGGTAAATGTAACCTGTATCCGAAGACCTCAGAGAAGTTCTCTTCTTCTCCGGTGATCAGCGTGATATACTCCTTAGGACTGTCAGTGCTCATCTCTGAACAGTAGATCTGAGCAATAGAGGAGGTAAGTGGAGTTTTTTTGTTTTATAATGTCTAAACTAAGAAATTCTTTTAAATCAGGAATTCATTATTTGTGCCAAATAACAAAGTTAACTTCTCTCGGAAATGTTTCATATTAACAGAAATTCAAATGAGACCTAAAAATTAATCTTACTTTTAAAATTTTTCCATCAATTTTCAACGTCTGTTCACCATCAGAGACAACATCTTTCTGGAGACGTACATCTCTACAGTTAGTGGGGAAGTGGCCTGAGAATGAGAGAGGAAAAGAGTTTGTACGGTATGGTACGCATCATGTCTGATCAGCGGCCTGTAGCACGAAGCGAGATGAACAAACTCAGCGTTGCAGAGTAAGTTTTGAGTTGATAAAACCCGATAAAGCCAACCTGGTTTAGATCAGGTTCACTGGGCTCACAAAGCTCGATACAAACTTTCACTGTCAACTCAGAGTTTGTGATTAAAGGGGTAGTTCACTTCCAGAACAAAAATTTACAGATAATGTACTCACCCCCTTGTCATATAAGATGTTTGTGTCTTTCTTTCTTCAGTCGTAAAGAAATTATGTTTTTTGAGCAAAACATTTCAGGATTTCTCTCCATATAATGGGCTTCTATGGTGCCCCCGAGTTTGAACTTCCAAATGCAGTTTAAATGCAGCATCAAAGGGCTCTAAACGATCCCAGCCGAGGAAAATGGGTCTTATCTAGCGAAACGATCAGTTATTTTCTAAAAAAAATATTACAATTTATATACTTTTTAACCTCAAGCGCTCATCTTGTCTAGCTCTGCGTGAACTCTGTTTTTTTCCGGTTCATGACAGTTAGGGTATGTCGAAAAACTCCCATCTCATTTTCTCCTCCAACTTCAAAATTATCCTACATCGCTGTTTTACCGTTTTTTGTAAAGGGCGGTTGACCTTCTTTGCATGTTCACTTTGTAAACACTGGGTCGGTACTTCTGCAGCAATGTAGGACGATTTTCAAGTTGTTCATTTCAGTCAGGAGTCAGGACCACTCTGTTTGAGTAAGATTATTGTAGAGGTCCTGAACTTTATGTTTGGCGGCTGACATTGCTCTGAAGGGTTCAGATTCTGAGCTATCCACAGGCAAACCTCGCTGAGGTTTGAACCCCCCGAAGCCTAAGCAATTGCCAGATATTTTATATGCAACAGTTGTATATTTCAGTAGAGTAATACAGTACTGTGAATAAATGAGCTGGATAGATGATATACCTCCGTGGGCAAGCAGTTAGTGATCATGTATCTGCATAAGGAGGAGTTGGGGATGGAGGAGGGAAAGCGCATGTCTGTGCGACAGACTATGGCAAGTGTGAGTACGGATGAACTCATATATCTTATTAATTGTAGTGGGAGGAGTTACGGTCAGCTGAGCGCCAGCTGAGGCTGCAGGCATGCCGTGGTCTACCTGAATTATGCTTGAGTTCCATTCGTCGCTCAAACTAAATTTAAGTATACTTACCAGAGATGTATTCTCAGCACTGAAAATTAAAATACTAGAAGCAGCTAAATTTTTTCTACTTTTTAGAATTGTTTATGGACACTTTCCCTGTTGTAATTTTTTAAAACTATTTTGGCTATTTATATTTTATCTTGCTCAGACATTTTAATATTTATTAAAATTAAAAAAACGGATGTTATTTAATTTAAATAAAGTTTAGTACTGGTAATTAAAAAACAGAACAGAGTTAATTATAACAGTAACAATAGTAACATATATTAATAGTAATAGTAACACTGGTGAATTCAGTAGAACTATACTGTCCATAATATACCTTTACAGCAACTTGAGATTTTTTGCCACTTGGTGGCAAACCTTTAATTTCTACCACTATATGGGCATAAATTAATTATAAGGACATTCATTGTAATTCATTGTCCTGCTGCTACTACTAATTCATTGTTACTCACAAGAAGGACTGATGCAGGATTTCCGTTCCTCAGGTTTGGAGGAGGAGGGACATTTTTCAGAAACCTCACCCTCTGCTGATATACACTGGACTTGTCTCTCTGTCCAACCACTTCCACAGGTTGCAGAGCACTAATATACAAAAAAGGAGGTTTTTAAACAGACATTATTGGTTTAGTAATGACATTTAGTAATTTAGTATAATTTTATATCTTGTATAATTATTCAATTAGGTATATATTATTATCAGTCCAGATCTGTCTTAAATTCAGAAAAACTACATATTATCAATTTTTCTTTTCTATTTTTAAAAAAAAGTTGTTATTTTTCTTGTACAAAATTACATTTTTCGATTAAAGAGTTAGAGTCATTCCTTAAAAATGTAAAAATGTATTAGACAAATTCAAATCATGAATAATTACTTTAATAAACTCACAGGTCCCCATATACCCACTCTCCAAGCGTGTGGGGCAGAACAAGGCAGCCGAAAGCAGGGCAAGATGTCCTCAGGAGGGGTGCCTGGGCAGTCTAATGAAGAGTTAAGACTATACTCATAATTATCAATCCCAGCGTGAACCTCACTGCAGGACACCAGCCTCCTCTGATACCCCAGACCACATGTGACTGAGCACTAAAATGGAAAACAGCCTTGATGGAAACGAAACCCAATCTACAGTGTCTAAAACTTTACTGTAAACTGTCCATTGGTGAACCATAAATGTGCACTTTACAAATTGCATCCATTTATTTATTCAGTATAAGTATAACTATTGGCATAGAACTTAAACTGTCAAATTATTTCCAAAAATAATTTTCAAAATAACTGTATTATTTCCTGTCTCTCACCTCAGACCATTCTCCTGTAATCCAGATGAACTCACAGGGTTGTAAGTTACAAGGTTCCTTATCAGCTGGTTTTCTTTGGTTCATGCAGTACGCCTCAAGCACCTCATCTTCATCCTTATCCAAACACACCACTGCTCGAAACTTGTACCCAGAACCACATGTTTTGCTGCACTGAAGGAAGCGATATCCAGAAAAGTGATCATCAAATTCCAGCAAGCAGGATAATACTGATACTAATTTGATCAGCCAAGATAAGGAGTGAGATGGAATTACATCCCAATCTTGTACGTGTGCACCTTTCTGTTTAAAAACTACATAATTTGAGATACACTCTGTGTTTTGGTGGGCTTAAAAGCAAAGTTCAGCTTTAGCTATTAATATAATGAAAGATGAATGCTAACCTGGACTGGAATCTTTACTATGGTGTTAACTGCAATGTAGAGAAAGTAAAAGAAGTGGGAAGAAAGGTACCTGTTTCTGGGAATTCTGTCATATGCTGTAAAGTGTTGACAGTGAGCAGCACCAAGCTTTGTGCAAGGCAACTTGGCCCCTCAAGCATCCGACAGGCTAAGTGAGCTAGTCTAATAGGCTCCAGCTGCCTGTGTCTGCTGTGGAGGGGGGAGAAGTGGAGGTGTTCTCTAGAGCAGTGCACTCAACTAATTACACTTATTTAAGTGCTGTCAGTTCATGCTGCTAGATGACCCAGATTTGAGTCTTATGGAACGGTTTTTGTTGTCTGAAAAGTTTTTCTGTAGACCAGTGGTTCTCAACCTTTTTGACTCACAGACCCCCAACGGTCTAACACAATATTTAAAGGCCCCCATGTAATATAATATTAGCAGAAATACTGTGTAATATATTATTAGCAGAAACTGGGGGTGACGATATTACCACAATTAATTTTGTGAGTTCTTAAGGTAGAGTAAATATATATAATGCATATAGAATATGCAAAACATAAAGGTAAAATTAAGTAGATATCTAAAAAAGTGTCTTAATTACTAGCCAAGTTTAACAAAACTGCACCAAATGCAGACAAATGTTTCGCAATGTGGCATTCTTCTTGCTATTTTTATTATTTTGATTATTGTGGAAAAATTTGCATTATTTTATGAAATTCAGAAATTTATTTTATGAAAACATACAGGTTTGGAGCAAAATGAGGGTAATAATTAAATTATGACAGAATTTTTTGGTGAAATATCCCTTTAAAGGAAAAAAATACTTCCAGAACCGAGGACGATAAAAAAGTAGGCGGTCACTGTTGAGCTTGATTGCATTTTGCCCATATCATCTGAGAGAGAACGGTTTGAGGTGCACTCGTATGCTCATACACACACTTGCTGCTGCTCATACACATTTATTTCATTCTCACACTTTGTCACATATTCACCTCTTGCCAGTCTCCTTTGCCCCAGCTGTAGTGTGAGACACAATCGGTGACCCGGCAAGGCTGTGTAGAGGGTGGGCGAAGGAGACGGGAACATTTAGACTCCTGCATCCTGCGCTCGTCACCACTGACACAAGAAACCTCACGATGCTGCAGCCCATTTCCACAAGATGATGAACACTATGGAGAACGACACAGGTGGGTTAATGGAACTCATCAATTCTACATTTCTGTGATCTGTTTACATACTGCAAGCCTTAACAAATCACAGCTGTCCTCTAGTTTGTTCAGATAGTAATTACTTCCATTGAAAGTCATAAATCAAAATGTGATGACAGGATTACAATGAAGAGTCTGTTGAGAGGTTTGCACAATCCTGCTCTGTTATAGCTCAGAAAAGTGCTGCTGTACATGAATGTATGTGCACGACTTTCAACAGCAACCAGCATTTTTTTTTTTAGCTGGGGCCACTGAAAAACCAAGGATAAGGTAAAAGTTGAACTAATGTCTTTATCATGCATATTCTATTGTCTTTTACAGTTTTGTAAATGTGATGAGCCTAGGTGGGTTTTTCATTGCATGAATGCCATCCAAATGCAGGCAAGGGTATAAGGGAGAAGAAAAGAAAATCAACTCTTCCATAAAAATAACCATTAAAGTATTTTTGCCAAACAAATTTTGCCAGTTTACTTTCAACTCTCATTTTACTGTATCATCAAGCCTGCTTGTGGTTTACACAGAAGATGAAGTTTGACATTTAGCTAAAATATCAGTGATACTGGATGAAATGAAATTTGCATGAGTTTAAATATTGTGTGTAGATCATGCTGAGTCATTTGTTCATGCGTGTTTGGTTGTTGATTGGAAAGGTTGTTGAATTGCTTTTTATCAAGAATATCTTAAGATAACAGGCAGAGATATTCTGTGTATGGGAGTAATTTTCATAAAAAAGAAAGATTTTGAGTGCTACTGTATCCTATTGGGCAGATCTTCTTTATGCACCAAGAGCTTGTAACACTCCAAAGAGAAAGGAAAAATTGAAATCGCATCATATGACCCCTTTAAAACTGTGAGTGATCTCTGAACACATCATACACTATGAATATGTTTGCATTGGGAGAAACAGAACAATATACATTTTAAATGACTTGTTAAATATATTACATTGGTTTTGGTGGGGCAGTATTCAAATGATTGAGCAAAAAAGTATGCATGAATGGATAAGTAAAGTGAAGATTAAACGAGGGCTTTAATAGATTTGAAACTGTGAAATTGGGACATGCTGTGGAATACAAATACATATATCTTTCTGCATATCTGCTTTCCTTCTCTACAGTTATTTACTACACAGACTGCTCCTGTAAATCTCTAAAACTTGATATATATTTACATTACCGTTCAAAAGTTTGCTTTCAGAAATTTTTTTTTTCTTCAAGAAATGAAGGGTGCAGTATATTGATCAGAAGTGGCAGGTAAGACTTTTACATTCTTACAAAATGTCTCTATTTCAATTAAAACAAACAAAAACAAATTTAATTTGGAATTTTTGTTTTAATTAAAGAATCCTGAAAAAAATCTATGAGGGTTTACATAAAAATATTAAGCACCACAACATGAGCATATTAATATTAAGTATTATTATTATTATTATTATCAATATTAATATATAATAATATATTTATAGATGTATTTTTATATTCATATTAATGTTATATTCAATATTTGATCATTTAATACATTTATAATATATAATTATTATTATTAATATTATTAAATGTTTCTTTGAGCACCAAATCAGCATATTAGAATGATTTGTGAAGGATCATGTGACACTGAAGACTGGAGAAATGGCTGATGAAAATTCAACTTTGTCATCACAAGAATAAATTACACTTTAAAATATATTAAAACACAAATAAACCTTACGGACCCCAAATATTTTTAACGGTAGTCCGTATATACACGCACACATTGTGATATATAATAAAGTGTGAGTTTTACCTCTCCCCAGCTTCCCGTCTTCCACTTGGGGCACCTCCCACCTCTGCAACGCCTTTGCTTTTGTGGGAGGGGCAGGTGTAGGCAGTTCTCTTCTGGGATTGGCTGGCCCGAGTGACTGACACAAGTCACATTGCGGTACTTGTATCCTCTCCCACAGGACGCAGAGCACTGCAAGAAAGGGAAAAATGCTTCAGTGAAATCCAACTGCTTGATAAACACCAGCCTAATTAGTGTGTCATTTGAGGTGATTATGTTTGATTATGAAGCTGATTATGTCTAAATATGTGAATTTATGGGTAAGTCAAAGTAAACAAAAGAATAGATCAGTCCTGTGGTAATCATTGTAATTACGTTCAAATTTATTACCATTTTGACAGCATGTTATGTGGAGAATTAGCATATGGACATTTACATTATAAGATACCAATAACATAATACATGATATACAACTGGAGCAGCATAAACAAAACATTTGTTTTTACCTCAAATACTATTTACAGTATAAAAAGAGGAAAGAAAGTGTCTCTGAATCATAATGAATGGCAGTCACTACATCCGCTTGCCGAGCTGAAGAAATAGTGACATATTTTCTGGCACCAGCGGATAAAGGGAAAAGAGAGAGAGGCTTCCCTGGACCCCAGGATGGGAGAGGAACGGATAATCAAAGGGCCCCGTAGAGGGAGGATGGATATGATGCGACAAGTCTGAAGTTGAACGAGTCCATTCCCAGCATGCATTCACGAAATACAGGAACTAAGAGAACAGAAACTCCCCAACTGGATAATGTGTTCCTGGGGATACTTTTTCAAGCAAGTTTAGCAAGTCAGTGTGTCACAGTTGTATTTAAGGTGATGGAATTCATTTTGAACAAAATAGGTCTTGGGCGGTTTAACATTCATATATATATATATATATATATATATATATATATATTTGCTTTTACAAATATTTACAGTACCAAAATATATACAGTTGGTTCAACTGATTGCATATTATACAAAATTGAATACCGACAACATGGACAGTTGCAGCAAAATAACAAAATAATAATAAAAAAAAAAACTTTACATAAAATGATATAAAATACACTTTTATCTTTAAAGCAAGACCTTCCATGTACCATTGTTACAATGATTCACTTTAATAATTCATTCAAAGCCCTAAATATTGATTCATAATAAATCATACACTTGCTTACTCTGCCTCAGAATGTTACAGTGTGTGTTTACGTGTGAGAATGTGTAATATATATGTTCTTTTAGGAATTCTGTTGCAAGTGTAAAAGTTGCATGCTTAGTTTTGTGAGTGTGTGAAGGTCTCTTTAGTTGATATGAAACATCAATAAGCATACATTTAATCAATTGTTTCTTGGTGCTAATTTCTGTAATCAGCTCTAAAACACTTAAAGTGGCTGGTATTTTAATTATTGACATCTGAAATGGTTTTTACATACAGCAATAATGTGTCTGAATATTAAGGGGCCATATCATTTAGTTAATCATAACATATATAATTTCATTTGTTTTCATATGGCAAGGCCTTTATTTCAGTCGCAGTTAAGGTGTGGAAAGCTGCCATACTGTTGTTAAATGAATGCACCACTGATTTAATGAGCACAAATGACCAACTTTTCACACTCAAAAGGATTCCAATGCAGGGTAATTTACTTAAAAATTCCCTTCATCTAAAAACCACCCACAATCCTGAAACGCACAAGCTTGAGTTTGCTTCCCAGAGCAAAACTGTTTAACCAAATGTCATCAAATTGACAATAGAAAAATAAAAAAGTGTATATGGGATTTTTTTGTCAAAAATGAATAAAACATGTATATTTGTTATGCTAATAAAACATGTTCAAAACAAATATTCCAATTCATGACATCTGAATGCAATCAAAACATATAAGTTTAACTGTAATGCCACCCTTCAGTTTATTGATCATGGCTTTTTAGACCATGCAAAATTGCCTTGTTTTTCTTTTCAATTGTTGCCACAAATGATCAGTCCAGGAATGGCAACGTACTTGGCCACGTGCCTCACTACATTCCAACGTGAGGACTTCCAAGTATCAAACTGCACACAGATATCCAGACCACAGAGGCCTCCATGCTATGTGGGGCCATGCCGTTCATTCTTCCCATAAGAATAAAACTCTTTCTGAGAAGTTCGTCCATTCTGATTAGATGAGCTGGGAAGGCCGGTAAAGACCTTCCCACACATCAAAGGCCATCCTTGGCCCCCCATGCCCTTGCAATTGTTATTTTGATGTATGCTCATTGCTCACTCAGTTGACTGTGACTATATCACCACTATCAGGGCTGGTTAATATCCTGTGCCGTCAAAAAGGAAATAGACAGCGGTAATAGACTTCTTCTGTAGGTATTGAGGTGAGTGAGCACCAAAAAAAAGACCCCCATTTAAGGATCATTAAAACAGGTAAAAGATGTTGAATACTCAGATGAGAAATGAAATAAAAGCAGCAGGATAACACAAAAAAAGTCATACAGAATTGGAAGTTTGACACACGAAACAACACATATTAAGCTCAGTGATTTTGTACCTTCTTTGATTTGAGAACATATGCTTAATCGGCAAATAAAATGCTATCTTTTTAAAAACCGAACACCTTCAGAATAATACAAGGCATTCAACAGTCAAAGTCATTTTCTTTTCTAGATGACTAATTCACAAATCAACTAGTATTATTAATTAATTACAAAAAGTTGCCTACTTTTCCAAACCACATCAATAATAATAAAAAAAGAAAAAGAAAAGCTTGTTGTTTAATTTGACCATCATCATCATCATCAACAGGTTCAAACAAATATGGACAAACATATGGCAGCAGAAATAAATACAAATACATACAATAATATACAGAAATGTTCATGCACACCTTCATCAATACTGCCATTTGATTTAAACCGCTTAATTTTCAGTCTGGTTACATTAACAGACCATGTCATGAAAGGGAATAGCACCATAGACACTATAGCACCATGACGTCTTTGAAAAAAAAAAAATACAAATTTGTATAAATACAGTGCTGTGAAAAAGTAAGTACACCCCATGAAAAGTGTAGTATTTAGGACAGATATTGGATTGACATGCCGTCAATGTTAATAGATAAAATAAATTATAATTTAATAAATCATACTTTTTTATAATGATTTGTGCCATTTCTTTTTTACATCACTGTATGTTTCTTTAAATATATACTATTATATCCATGAGAGATTAGAGATCAAATTAAGCAATGAATGGTTGCTTATGGATGTTATAGGATTGCTTAGCATTTGTTATCACTATCCACAAATATAAAGTGGGTGGAAGATGTATGTGGGGCTCTTCATTACGACTGAGGTAGACACAAGCAACTGGCCAACAAGCATATTTAAAAAAAGAAGAAGAAAAAAAACGGGCCTTCCCTGGGTCTGAGGGAAATGCAATGAGGAATTTTACACACTAGACTAAACATGTTTTTTTGTTGCCTAATACACACAAAAAAATGAGATATTACTGATTTTGTAAATAACCTAGAAAAATATTAGAATTGCAGAACAAATCAACAGACAAAATGACACAAAACTACATTTGATTTCAGATTAGGTCACAACTTTTTGTATTTACTTAAAATGTACTTCTGTAAATTACCTTAAATATACAAAAATATAGCAACTATAGACAGATTTTCACATAAAGTCTCCCTTGTACTGAAAAAGCACCATCATAAATTTAAAAAAAGTCAATGGCTAGCTGAGTTCATGTGAGGTATGTTTGAAAAAAAAAATCAAGAGAAATGAATTATGAAGATCGATAGAAAAACCACAGAAAGATTGTTTCAATATAATAAAGTAAACTGCCTGTGGTCAGATGTTTTAGCTCTGTAGTGGAGCAATACAAGCGTTGCTGCCCATGTATTCTAAATACTATATACAACTGTACTGTGTTTTGAACACAAGCCACAGCAAAGGGCATCACAATGATTTGTATTTATCCAAAGTACAGCTGCATTGGGCAAAAGAATCCTAACATAGAAAATTAAATGGAGAAAAAAAGCAAACAAAACAGCATTCAAACTTAAACACATCGACCAAAGAGATGCTCACTTTTTCAGTCAGGAAATAAACCTCTAAAACAATATTTAACTGCATGTTTGGTAGATCTTTAAGTGCAACCGAAACTCGCTAAAAAGCAGCTATTTGCTTCCTCAAAGATCAAACCATTTGAGTTTCAGTTTGTTTTCTTCATGTCTTGAGCATAAAGAAACATCGGCATGTTGTGAGAATGAGAACTTATGAAGGGAAAAAGTTAAAATAGTTACGAGCGTACCGAGCTCCATTGGTCTGTGCTCCAGTGAGGGTTAATAGAGCAGGACTGAGTATTGCACTGTTCTTGGTCGGGTGGTTTGTCAAGAATTTCACAGCTCAGATCGTTAAAGCGCTCCCCGTTGGGCCGCTGACAAGCGACCAACCGGGTCTTTATCCCTCCTCCGCAGGATTTTGAACACTAGGGAGGCAGAAACAGAGTATGGGTGAGAGAAAAGAAAGAGTGAAAGTCTGGCTTTATTAACAGATAGAATTTTTCTGAGAGCACATTTTCAAAAGACGGCTTGGACCACATATATAATGTCAAAATATCATAATCTCACGGTCTTCTCTTCAGTAGGCACACTTCTAAAGCTTCGTTCAAATAGACAAAATAAGACATGTCGGCCTATCCTACTCAAATATCCTTTGTATTTTTGTCTGAATAGCAAACAAATCCTATATTGACCCTAATGCAAGAAACGGATTTTACAAACCAGTTGTAAATGTGAATAAAAATGTTAATGCATGATTAAAATGGAAATCGTGTAATGTGATAAAAAAAAATGTCTTACTTAGCTAATGGATAGCATATACATACATGCATACACCAATTCAAACGTTTGGGGTTGATTTATTTTCTTTATTTTATACAGTATAAACATTTTAAAATGTAATTGATTTCTGTGTTAAATTACTCCAGTCTTCAATGTCATATGATCCTTCATAATCATTCTGATTTGATGCTCAAAAGACATTTCTTATTATTATCAATGTTGAAAACAGCTTTGTGGAAACATTTTTTCAGGATTTTTTGATGAATAGATAGTTCAAAAGAACACATTTGAAATATAATAAAGCAATAAGCACCAAGAAGCCGTGGTTTACAGTGAACAGCTAAGGGGCGTTTGTTAGGCACGACGTGAAGCAGAGTGCCTAAAACCCCCTTAGTTGTTATAAATTCACTGTAAACCACGGCTTCACGGGGCTTATTGCTTTTATAAAACGGTTATTCCATATACGTAGTAAGGTTTCGCAAAATAAAACAGAGCAAAAAAAGTGTAATGATATTAATAAAGACAGTATTCTTCCACCAAACAATGTAGTTCTTCAGAATCAGTTGTGGTTGCAACAAAGTGGTTGCCGAGCAACACACAAAGTAAACAAAGGTGTATGTTTGTAGAGTAATTTACAACAGCTTTGAACGTGGCCCAGCCAATCAGAATCAAGGACCGGAACTATCCGTTTTATAAATCTTTTTTAACATTACAAATGTCTTTACTGTCACTTTTGAACATTTAAATGTGTCCTTTCTAAATAAAATATTCAAATATTAATTTCTTGGAACAAATCTTACTGACCTCAAACCTTTCAACAGTAGTATACATTTGATTAAATAAAACCAATTCAATTGAATTGAGAGCATCTTACCTCACCCCAGCTGCCATAGAACCACTGAGGGCAGGGGCCGGACTCACAGGAGCGTTGCTCTATGGGTTGAGTGCTTTCATCACAGCTGTTGGCAGGGTAGCCGTTCTCATCCTGACACACCACCACACGCCTCTGGAATCCTCCGGCACAGGTACTTGAACACTGAGAGGTGTGAAAGAGAAACAGAAGCTACATAATGAGAGAAGGGCCGCACACACACACACATGCCTTCCACACAATCACAAACACAAGCAAGCACATTCTCAATAGACCAATTTCACATTCCATTAGCCTTGACAGAAAATATACGTCAATACATAAACACTGACCAACCCTGACTCCTTTGATGAGAACGATTATGACTGGAATAGATTATGACTATTTCCATTTTTTTTAGTTTTTTTTTTTAGAAAATGTTGGAACTGAATGACATTTCGTTTTATTAATGCTTGACTCTTGATGGTATGGCAAAAGAAATGATGTTTTAGCTAAGTTCTGAATAAGCAGAATTAAATGTGATAAGAAAAATAGAGAACGGCAGAAACAATACAAAAACATTAATAAAAAGCATTGCATTGAATTTATTACCATATATACTAAAAGTCTGGGAACGTTTACATTTTTAAAATGCTTTTGAAATACGTCTATTATGCATACCAAGGCTGCATTTATTTAATCAGAAAAATAGGAAAACTATATTAATGTGAAATATTATTACAATTTAAAAGAACTGTTTTTTATTTTATTACATTTTATTTATTTTATTAGCAGTCTTCACAATTCAGTCACACGATTCTTCAGAAATTCTAATATTACCTGAACTTTTGAATGATATATATATATATATATATATATATATAATATATATACATACAGATTTAATGTGACTAATGGATAGTAATATTCAAAGTATCATGAATTATATCCTTAATAAGTGGAATCAGAATCATTCAATTGCTCATGATTACTATCACTTGGAAGGATGCAAATTATATATAGCTATAAAGGAAGCGCTTTTAGAAAGGTCTACAAATACCTACAAGACAAAAAGGAAGAGCTTCCCAAAAACTGCACAATATTTAGCTGTTCTTTGAACTCTAAAGACTATTTAAATCAATGATATCATGAAGGAAACAGGAGCATTTATCAGAAAGAGGAAATGCTGCTGCTTGGGTGACTTCTTAGAGAGTTCATGTACTGGTGAGCTTAGCACCTTAGATGTCATTCTGTTCCTGGGTTTGCAAAAAGTTCTCTAACAGGACTAGTATGTGGAATATATCAAATATCAGAGACATGCAGAGACATAATCATTTTTAGAGGTACTTACCGCCCCCCATGGTCCAGTCCTCCATTGATGTGACTGGGGTTTGCCAGCTCTGTTACGGTCAGTTCGTCCGGCGGGAACTGTTTTTTTCCGAGAATCAGTGTTAGGTGAAAAGCCCCCGTGGTCGCTGGAGCGAGACGGACACTGGGGCATGGCACACTCCTGCTCTGTTGCTGGTTGATCATCTGGGTCACACTCACTCATTTCCACAACTTGATCACTGATGTTCATGCACACTACTTGCCGTGTAGTCTTACCCTGACCACAGGATACGGAGCACTGTAAATACAGACAGATACACACACACACACACACATGATTGCACAGAAAACACATTATACTGAACAATAACACCATATATTAAGATGATAACCGACCACACCCAAGTTTAACCTTAAAACTGTCAGGATTTGTATTTTTGAATGAACTATTACTTATATTAAAAATAGAAGAAAAATAGTCCCCTTAGTTTAGTGTGTTTGACTTTTTCAGATATCTGAAAGTCTTGATTTAAAAACTAAAAAGCAGGAGGACATTGGCTAAAGCAATCCCACCACACTAATTCTTGTCTTCCTGTACAAATGTGAATAGTATGCACACCGAACCCCATCTGCACACAAGAGCCACAAAAAATGAACTCTCATCAGTTTCCAATTACAACTGAGCTCTGAACACCAGAATGAGAGCAGAATGATCAAGGTCAATGGTCTATGATATTAGGCTGTAGAACAGCTGTGAATGAAAATGAAAATGCAAATACTTGCAGTATTGAAACAATGCTGGCTAACACAGTGGTGTTAATATTGCACAAATATACTGAATAAATACAGTAGGGTCCAAATGTCTGAGACCACAAAATGTAATTTAAACTTGAAAATAAACAAAATATTTAAGGATTTTAAAAAATGTAAAAAAAAAAGAAAAAACAATACAAAAACAATTTTAAACTATGCTGGATAAAATCATCAGGTTCATTTTTCAACTTTTCACAAAATAGTTGTGCTAAAAATAAAATAAAATAAAATAAAATAAAATAAAAAAATAATTAAATTAAATTAAATTAAATTAAATAAAATTTGAGATAAAAAGGTATATTTTATTTACCGGAGTCCATTCCAGGACCTTCCACAGTCCGCACGCCACTATGGAGCAAACCTCACTAGCAGGAGGTTTTGGAAGATGGGAGCAGGCTGATTCTTCTGCTACTCCACCCTGCTGGTCACGGCAGCTTACATAGCGCATCCGGGTGCCCTTTCCACAGGTGGCACTGCACTATTGTAAAGAACAACCATTTTACAATATCTACAGAACCTATTACATCGTCTAGCACAATAACTACTAACAGTAATTCATATACATGACATTATTCAAGAACGTACCTGTGTCCAAGATCCAAAGCGCCACTGTGTTTTATGACCAGGATGTGACATCACTTTGGTCTCTGGGGCAACAGGATGAGTAACAGGACACTGCGAGAGTTCACAGTCCTGTGGAAGGGAGGAAGTGGGGAAGGACAATCAATTTTCGGTAATGAAGATCCGTGACTCTAGGGGTGAGGCCGGTAGGGCTTCAAGGCTGGAGCCAGTGTGCTTGATTTATGCTTGACTGGCTGAAATCACTTGTTCTGGGTCACTGCGCCTTACGGCAAATAGAGGATTTAAAACCAGGGGGCCTCCTGCTTTCTCGTTCTGTCTGCCGTATCCCTCCTTTTGGTTCCCGACTCTCTCACACTCCCACCTACCTCCACTTATTCCCCCTTGGTTTCTGCCTTCGCCAATCATTTTACATGTCTCTCTGAAATACCTGACCCTGATTGGTCAATCACAGCGTTCTGCGGTCAAATAGTTTAGTATAAAGACTGTATAGTATAATTGACCATTTTTCTACATAGCAATCGATTTACTGCTGAGCTATGCTTGTTCTTTCTGTTTTATGTAACTTTATAATATCAACTCAAATCAAAATTTTACTTTGGTAAGTAGCTGTGTAATATGTGGGATAATGTACAGTCATCCTGGTATTATTGTAAAATAAACTCCTTCAGGGTGATACAAGATCCTTCCACTTTCGAGTCCGGGTCCTGATCATCCTGCCTGGGTTTATTTTGCGATAATCTGGCTGACTGTACAATATCCCTTATTTATTAAATTCTTTTCTCTCTCTGTCTCTTATAGTGTATATTACAGTATATGTCTTATGTATACATGTTCTTAGACTTTTATCAACCTGGTTGGCTTGACGGTGGGAAAAAAGGGCTCTTTCTTTCATCTCCTTAAAAGCCTTGTGAAAATGAAGCTCTATAAAACCAATGCCTCAGGAAAGTTCATAAAATACTCTGTGAAATGCAGCGTTCAGTCACTCCAGCTCTGCAGCACAATTACACTGGGGGAGGGGGAACGGGGTAAATGTAATTTTGCAGGTATGTGCAGATTGTTAAGTAAATAAAATCAAGATCCAGATGACTGCAAATAAACTTAAATGACTATTAAATATAAATCTGCAGTGGAACTATATAGACATGGAAGTTATAATCACAACAGTTCATACTGAAAAAACGACACATGCAAACACACACAAGTTAATGGTGCACACACACATACAGGGTTCCCACACTATTTGACCAATGTATTTCTTTATTTTTTCCAGTCGTTTATAATAATATTAATAATTAAAATTCAGATTCAGATTAATGAATCATCTGAATAAATATTTTACAGCCCTGAAAAACATACCTTTTAAATTCCCTGATATTTCAAAACATTGGGAACACTTTTAAGGTTAATTTCCTATTAATGGCCTGATGCAGCATGTGTTTGTATGTGTAGACCCATGCTTTTCCTTCAGACAAGGCTTTATTGAGTGCAGGTGATAAATATGCTGGATGGGAAACTTCCTTCCTGCCTTTCAGGCTGTACCTGCACGCACTTTTTTTTCTCTTTTCCAGTTTCTCATTCCAGGATGGTGTAAAACTACTTAGTAAATTAATACTTGTACATACCTAAAAGACAACATCTCTCTTCAAATTACTGCACAGTCATTAATATAACACCTCAAAAAATAACTTATATCTTACAAACTGAGTCAATAACAATGTATAAAATGCAAAATAATCATTTTAATGGATAGTTCACCCAAAAAATGAAAATTCTGTAATCACTTAAAGTTGTTACAAACCTATAACAGTTGCTGATATTCACTTACTTCCATAGTATGGAAAAAAAATTCTATGGAAGTCGATGGCTACGCTACCGTCAACTATTTGGTTGCCAACATTCTTTAAAATGTCTTTTATGTTCAACAGAAAAAAAACAACTCAATTTGTAAAGGATGACAGAATTTTCATTTTGGGATGAACTATCCCTCTAATGTATCAGTGCCACAAATCATGTCCATTACAAGGCAAAACAGTGTTTGCAATAACGGTAACGCATGATCTCCAAGGTTTCTTAATTGTGCTGTGGTTCAGCTATTAAAAGCTACTTTTAACCCACTCCCTGGCTTCTTGCTCTTTCATGTCATCAAGCATACAGCAAATTGATCCAGGAAGACTGGTTCACCCCTTTATGGTTTTCAGTAGTTATATTATGAAAAACTAACACAGTTCTTAGTTCGCACTCAATAATGAGAAGGAGAGAAATGAATGAGAGTCAGTGTGAATGTTAGAGATCAATGCTCCTACCTGAGTGTCTGTTGGACGTGTTGCTGCATTACATTCAGAGTCATCCATGACAGAGCCGTATGAGCCAACCACACACTTCACAGCTCTCATCTGATAGCCCGGGCCACATGTGGTGGTACACTACACACACAAATAAAGAGGGAGGTCAGTTAGGGACAGTATCTCATTTAATGTTACATTGTAAAGCCTATGAATTACCCAGGAGAATAATTTGAGATTTAAGACTGCCACTATTGGACTGCTGGCATCAATCCAGCACTGATGTGATAAGCACCCGCATGGGCAACCTGGGACGTGGGCCAGTAATTTGTCCACCTTTCTCCTTTTCTTTATCTCTTTTCCTCATCACTGACTTGACTGCAACAAGGTCAAGCTTATGTGGCAGCATTTGCAGCTAGATCGCATATGCTTCAGTAAAGCACCTCAAACATGCATTTATCAGGATTGTTTAATCTATGCAAGAGCGATGTCTAATCTCTATAATACTTTAGGACTTAAAGATAGTTTGCCCACACAAATGCTACAAATTATATGATTCCCCTCTGGGTGATCTCTGGAAAAAATCTATTTGCTTTTCTGAAGACAGTCATAAACTGCTCGAGTGGATAGAAAACAGATTATCCATGAATAGATGGTATTCACACGGTGTCTGCAAGTTTTAAAAAGTATTTCAGATGGATTTTGTAACAAAAAGCTTTAAAAAGATTTTAACACCACATTCTGCTCAACAGTATGATTTGCAATAGGCTAAAAAAGACGTTATTATATTCAATACTCTTAAATGACTTGATTTTCTTTTATTTTATTTTCAACTAAATTCTTTTGAACTGATATTTCATCTAAGACTCCTGAAAAAGACTACCACAGTCTCCAAAAAAAAAAAAAAATAAGAATCTGTTTTCAACATTAATAATAATCATCAAATGTTTCTTAAGCACAAAATCAGCATATCAGAATGATTTCTGAAGGATCATGTGACATAGCTGCTGAAAATTGCAAATTACATTTTTAAATATATTAAAATAGAAAACTGTTATTTTAAATTGTAATGAAATGTCATAATATTACTGTTTTTACTGTATTTTTGATTAAATAAATGCAGCCTTCTTTCAAAAAAAAAAAAAAATTCTTGCCAACTCTATACTTTTTGAATGGTAATGTATATACTACTTTTTTGGTATTCAACGGTGGTTATCATATAAATCAGAATGAAAAAAGTCTATCATCACCTTTGCGATAATATCAAATATCTTGCAGTACAAGCTCAAAAAATGGCACATTCACACAGATGTTTTAAAGCAGCACAGTGTTTTGCACTATTGAATGTTGAGTATTAATTTCCATGTATAGCTGACAAAAAAAAAACAAGATGAAAAACTTTAAACTTGCTCTGATGGCATTTTATTTAAGTACATGCAGCAAAGCATCTAGTGAGAAGCAAGTTTTTCAATGAACTAATGTGGGACCTCTGTGAACAACATTTAAAACTTTTTTAAAAAGTAAATGAAACACGTTTTAATACTTTTCAGGGATCCACAGACCTTATAAACAACATAGTTATGTTTGTTTCAGATGTGTTCCACATCGACGCAAAAGTACCAAATGTTGTTATTTGACTGGTCCCTAACCTCGTTAAATTTTTGTGGCCGCTTTTCGCCCACACAGCAGCTGTAATAATCTGTTTACAATATCTGCCAGCTATGACTGCACTGACTCCTGGAAATTACATTGCGTTATCACAATACACTTGAATTTTCATTTCACAGGCATAAGCATCAAATATACTTCATGTAATACCTGACATACCTGAACATGTCATGCACCTAAATACTTTTTTTGGTTTGTTTCTCACCTGTCCCCAGGGCCCCACCTGCCAGGAGGCACATTCTTGCTGTTGGCAGGCCTGTACTGACTCTGGTTTGGAGGAATCACAGAAGCGGTCATCCAAACGCTCCTCTCCAAACTGACACCAAGTCTGGCGGTGCTTATAGCCCTTGCCACATGTCACTAAACACTACAAAATGAATTCCAAAGTAGCATTAGAATAGGTCATGGTGGATGACTAGATTACTCTGATGGTTTAAAGAGCAGGTCATATGGGTTTTTGAAAAATATCGCTTTTGCAGTTTATAACGTAGCTATCCTTAGGATACCACAGAAATACAATTCGAACCTTTTGTTGTGTGCATGTCATTTTACCAAGGACTGCTTCTCTAATCTTGGCTTTTATCTTCGTTGGCTTCTTCTATCTTCTTAATTTTGACTAACGAGCTCTCCGAAGCACAACCTGTAAGTACGATTGATAAGTTATGTGTACATTTTCAACTGAGTGCTCAAAACATCAAGTTTTTGTGCTAATATGTGATGTACACCTAGTGCAGCTTAATTACTCTAATATTAAATGTATATTCTGAGACAATTACAATGTTTTCTGACCTTAGATGCATTTAAACCTGTTGTAGGGGATTCCAACACAATATTAGGACACTTTAAAATACCATATGACCTGCTTTTTAAGCATAGTCTGCATGAATTCAGATTACATTTGAAGCTGCCCATGTTTTCATGGGATGCATTGGTCGGTGTTTACCTCAGACCAGTCTCCAGTTTTCCACTGAGGACACAGGAACTCATTACAAGGTTGGACTGTGAGCTTTTCTTGTGGGTTGCACTTGGTTTTGTCATCAGTTTCTGCTGACATTCCACATACTGCACTCCTACGACGTGTTCCTCCTCCACAGCTCCTGGAGCACTAGAAAACCAAGAAAAAATCCTCATAGTAAGTCACATGTCAAAAATGTATACAGTCCACATTCTTTCAAGTACATGAATATATTTAACAAGAGCTGTTTTGAGACCAATGAGGTTTTTCGCACCTCAGACCAGGAAGAGTACTCCCATCCACCAGGGTTGCAGTCTCCATGGCACACCTCCTTGTCTTCAGGCTTGTGCTGGTTGCTGCAATATCGGTCGTCAACCTTCTGGGTTTTCCCATCCAACCTGCTCTGTTTGATGCAGTAAATGTACAAAGTCCTGAAGCCCAGACCACAAGTGGCTGTACATTCGCTTTTGCGAACAACCTGCCACCTGTAAATTGAAGAAATGCAACAAAGTTAAACCCCATGTAGCCTTATTTCTGGTTTCATTACAAAAACTAACTAAATAAATAAATAAATAGACTAATTCAAAAGATTGTCGGGTCGGTAAGATTGTTTTTGAAAAAAGCCTCTTATGTTCACCAAGGTTGCATTTATTTGATCAAAAACAGTAAAAACTGTTACATTGCTAAATATTATTACTATTTAAAATAATGTCATTTATTCCTGTGACGGTAAAGCTGAATTTTCAGCATCATTACTACAGTCTTCGGTGTCACATGATCCTTTAGAAATCATTCTAATATGCTGATTTTGTGCTCAAGTAACATATCTTATTATGCTGTGCTGCTTAATATTTGATCATTTATAACATTCTAAATGCCTTTACTGTCGCTTTTGATCAATTTATTGTACCCTTGCTGAATAAAAGAATTAAAGGGATAGTTTACCCAAAAATCAAGCGTATAGCGTTAGTTCTGGCCGCTCACTTGAGTCAAGCTTGCATCGGCTGACTCTCAGATGATCCACATCTACCTATAGGAATACAATGCCTATCACGGCTTTCCTATATACGGTCTCTTCAGTATTATTCAGCAGCTTTTTCACTTGCTCAGGAGCAAATTACCCTCCTCCATCCCCAACTCCTCCTTTCGCCACCATCAGAACTTGGCTTTCTAATAGTCCTCATTGAATCAGACTCCTTTTATCTTGAATAATGTTGTTACACTTAAATATCATTAAGAACATTAATGATATCTGATATCTGTTTGCCCAGAACAGAACCATACCGCCAATCCAAACTAGTGGTCGACCGATATTGGTTTTTTGACAGCCGATGCCGATATCTTGGAAAGCAGGGTGGCCGATGGCCGATATAAAGCCGATATAATTTTATTTATTTTATTTAATATTTAAGAAATGTTAAATAATTTGAAAATGGATTAAAAAATAAATGTGTAAAATAAACACGCTTATACTTTAAATGACGAAGTATTTTTCACAAATAAACAAATATTGAATAAAAATATAATTAAAAAGGAAGTAAAACCAACAGGGCACTCGGTATTCTGGGAAGTTTGTGTGCATTGGGAATCACATTTTTTCAAATAAAGCCAAGGTAACATTCATTTTACATACAGCACACAGTGAAAATGACATGAATATGACATTGGGCAAAAGCATGAAGCGCAGCATAATTTGAAATCA